CCAGCCCGGGGCTGCCGGCCGAGGGTGAGTGGGCTCCAGCCCCGGGGGCTGCCGGCCGGGCCGGGGCAAGCTGCTGACCTGCCCCTCTGACCCCAGAGTTCGTGGCCATGATGACCGGAGAGTCCTTCAAGCTGGTCCAGTAGGCGCAGCTGCTGCAGCCGTGGGAGGCCTGCCCGGGAAGGCCGCCGCCCCTGCCGCCTGTCCACCCACTGCCCCAGCTCTGTGTAAAATAAATGTTCCAGCTTGACCTGTGTGCCTCACTGTCCCAGTCGGGGATGGGGGACAATGCGCAAAGGCATGGGGCTGGAGGAGTTTTCCTGGCCTGGCCAGGGGAACACAGCCCCAGTCACTTCTGCCATGACACCTGACACCACTCATTGCCCAGCTCAGGGCTAGGAATGGCAGCCTGAAGGCTGGACGAAGTACAGACCGGGAACCACATGCTCGCCCTGCCTGCGGGCACTGGGGGTTGGCTGCCCAAGGGTTCCTCCCAGAGCTCTGGAGTCCCAGAGTCCTTCCCACATAGGCAGAGCCCATTTAAATACAAACTTTAAATACAAACTTTATTCTCTCTCCAAGAAGATGCAGATGTCACAGCTGGTCCTGAGCTCCCACCTGAGGCTCAGGCCCAGGGGGCTTCCTCCAGGCTGAGAGCCTGCTGGGGCTGGGCCAGGGGCCGAGGCTGAAAGCAGCAGCCTGCCTCGGGGGTGACGCCACGAGGCCGGCTGGGCTAGCTGGCGGCGTAACACAGTACCAAGGCTGGGCCACAGCAATGTTCTGGATGGTGGGGTGGGCTGCGGGCCCTTGGCTCCAAGTGCCAGTTCTCTGAGCTCTGGTCTGTTCTCCTACCTCTTTCAAGGAGCACCAGGGCTACAGGGTGGGTGTTGGGTACTGGGGCCTGATTCCTGGGGCATTGGAGTGGTCTCTAAGCCTGAGGCCCCAAGGGGAGGATTGGGTTTCTGGGAGGGTGCCGGCCCTTCCTCTCTGGGCTTGGCCATCTTGACAGCTTCATCGTAGGAGGGTGGAGCCTCCGGGGCGTACAGGGTGTAGGCAGGAGGAGCCATGGAGTCGGGGTCCAGCTCCCCGAAGGGCAGGGGCAGCCACGTGCCCACTGGGTACTGCATGGAGCTGTAGGCTGCAGGGAACCAGACTGGGTTTGTGGAGGCAGGCTTGGCATTTACCCCGACATCTCCACCTCCACCAGGCGGGCCCCTAGGCACTCACAGGTCACAGTGCTGTGTACAGGGCTGTCACTGTCCATAGGGATAACCGCCAGGTCGCAGGGCTGCCGTGCTGTTGCCAGATGTGGCCGGGCCTGTACCTGCTTCCGGAGGCAGCAGAAGCGGACACAGCCAGCTGTGACCCCGCACAGCAGCAGCAGGAGGACTGCCAGCAGGACCAGCCTAGGACAGCAAGTCCCCACCACTGGACTGACCCTCGGCCGCCGGGCACCTGCACCCGGAGAAGGTTGTGGCACAACCACCCAAGACAGGTTAACAGAATAAAAAGCAGAGAACGTCTCTCCGCGTCGGAGGCTGCTGTGGCCAGAGCCTGGCCTCTGGCTGCTGGGCCTGCCCTGGCTGTCTGTCCCAGGCTGGCCAGGGAGCCTTGGGCTCACTCCCAGGACGTGCTGCCCTCAGCGGCTGCCCCACTGCTGACCGGGATCGTGGGGGCTTCCCGTGGAGGCCAGGCGGGAGGAGTGGGAGGTAAGTACTGCTTGCTCGAGGCCAGTTCCCGCCAGGAGGGAGGCAGCCTGTTGAGGTTAGGGCCTGGCGGGCGTGGCCTCGGTGACCCCTGCCCCAGAACCGTCGGACGCACGGCTCAGCCGCGGCCTCCACTTACCCCACGTGCCACAGGCTGCTCCAGCGGGCCTGGGGCGGGCACCTGCGGGGACGGCGGCACCTGGAGCAGGCGGGGCACGCGCCCGCTGACCACGCCGCCCGCGCCTCCCCAAGGGTGGGGCCAGGCCCCGGCTCCCTCCCGCCCCGACTTACTGGCCCGAGGGGTCGCAGCTGCCGTCCGCGAAGCCCAGCGCCACCTGCGGGGACAGGTGTGAGCCCGGGAGGGGCGTGGTCCGAGCACGGACCCGCCCCACGGTGGCCGAACCGAGAGAGGGCGCGGCCCGACCCACCTGCGGCAGCGGTAGGAGCAGCAGCAGCTGGAGCCCGCGGGCAGCCAGCGGCCCTACAGCCATGCTCTGCGGAGGTTGGAGCAGCGCCCGGCGGCGAGGCTTTATGGGGTCCCGCCCACCACAGGCCACACCCACCACAGGCCACACCCACCGCAGGCCACGCCCACAGAACGCCCCCTCAGCGTAAGTCCCAGCGACCCGGCCTGACTCGCCGCAGGCCCCGCCCACAGGAGAGCACGCCCCATGAACGTAAGCCCCGCCCACAGGAGTACACGCCTGTTGGACGCCCCACGCAGCGTAAATCCCGCCCACCGGGCCCCGCTCGCTACCGGCCCTTCCCACAGGGGCACACGCCTGCAGGACGCCCCCCGCTGACAGGACGCCCCAGGCTTACAGGACGCCCCACGCAGCGTAAACCCCGCCCGCCAGACCTCGCTCTGTGCGAGCTCCTTTGCCACAGGCCCCGCCCACAGGAGGCGTCGCCCGCAAGACTCCCCCAGTCGCTAGGCCTCCTCTCAATGCAAACCCCGCCCACTGGCCACGCGCCCAACGTAAGCCCCGCCCACCACGCCCCGCCCAACGCAAGCCCCTCCCACTTGACCACGCCCAACGTGTTCCGAGGGCGCGCCCGTGGCCCATCGCAAGCCGAACTCGCAGCTCCACCCGCGAGGCGATAGTGGGCGGGGTTCGCCCTGAGCCCGGGCAGGCGCCCCCACCCCGGCCGGGCCCGTCCTGCTTTGCCGCTGGTCTGGGCGTGGCCCGGGGACCCTCAGGAGTTGGCCCAGAAAGTCGTGGCTCCCTTGGGTGTGGTTCCTGGGGTCCAGTCTCGCAGGCAGGCTCCAGGTGAACTGGAGGGTCTCGCCACCAGGACGCTGGGCGTCCCGGACGCGGTGATTGGACACTGTGCACCTGCGCGGCAGGCACTGCCTGGGCTGGCCCTCGAGGCGGGAGCCCGGCCCTGTCTCTGGGCCGTTCAGGCGCTGGGTGCAGACCACTTTCCCATAGCCCTTGGCCTTGGGGATCATGCCCCACCTGGGAATGTGGCTTCCATTCCCATTCCCTCAGCCTGCAATGCCTGCTGCTCACTGTGCCAGGGGCCATTTCTTTCAGGGGACCCCTGACCCTTTATCCCTCTGCTGCCAGGCCAGGGCCCCTGTTAGGCTCTTGCTGCCCTCTGCTCCCCACGGGACCAGCAGCACACTGTCTGTCTGGTAGTCAGGTGAAGTGAGATGGTCAGCACCGCAAGGGGCAGGGTCCATCTTGCTGCAGGAGGAGCACCCACCCCTTAATCAGAACATGTTCCACGTGTGGGTGCTGCTCAGTGTCCCCACGCCGACAAGGGCAGTGACCCTGGAGGGCAGGGCCTCCTCTGAGTGGATCTTCTGCCCACACCTGCCCTTCACCGCCTCACTCCCGCCACTGCTAGGCTCTGCCCGAAGCTGCCTTGCACCTCCCAGGGCCTGTGCCACGGCCCTCAAGGGCCCGTCCTGCCTGCCCAGTGTGGGTAACCTCCCATATAGGCACCGAGGAATGAGGGCTAAGCAGAACCCTGGCACAGTTAGGGCTTGAGGAATATCTCTATAAAATAGTGTTACGACTCGGCAATTTCCTTTTATATACAGCTAGTGCTCGACTTAAGACCACGGTTGGTTCCGACAGACCGGTAGTAACACGATTTGGTCATAAGTTAGTAGGCTATATGCACGCGGAGATGGTAGTGCTGCCGGAAGCTGGTCCGCACTGTCGTACGCCCAGCTGGGCAACGTTTGCGCTGCCAGACGCGGTGCAGTCGTGGCTAGCGATTGTGGTCATAAAGTCAAATGGTCGTAAGTTGCATAGGTCATAAGTCGATCGATACCTGTAATCCTTTATATAATCATATTTAGTTTATAGAATTAGGGATTGGGGGCCAGGTGTGGTGGCTCATGCCTGTAATCCAAGCACTTTGGAGGCCAAGGCGGGTGGATCACCTGAGGTTGGGAGTTCAAAACCAGCCTGACCAACATGGTGAACCCCATCTTAAAAAAAAAAAAAAAGAGGGCTTGAAGAATCCCTTTATATAATCCTCTATATATAATCATATAATAGTTGATAGTATGAGTGCCTAAAGAATATTTCCCTACATATTTACCTATAATTGTATCTTAGTTCATAATTGGAGGAATGCCTAGAGTGGACACAGTACAGAGCATGAATTAAGGAATAAGCAGCTTATAATCGGAGGAATGCCTGGAGCAGATACAGTGCAGAGCATGAATTAAGGGAAAACAGTTATACCAGGACAAGAACCCATGGCCCAGGCGGCAGCGTTCAGTATCGTAAAGATACCCGCTGTATGGCAGGCTTGGGGTGAGAGCCACTCCTCCTGATAAAGGAGTTGTGGGACCTTGCTCCAGTTCTTGTGGAAAGTGCCCTCGGACCGGCAATCCACCTTGGTGACTGTGAACTTTATCAGCTCTTGCTACTGTGCTGCTTGGAAAGCATCTTCCCATAGAACCCATTGGAAGCTGCCAGAAGGTGGCGGTAACCCTGACAGCTCTGTCACTGCTGTGTGACTTAAAGCATCCTCCCATAAATCTTCTTAGAAGTAGTTTGCCCATAGACAGGAGTATTGCACACTGCACCCTCTTCACTGCGCACGGCCCACCTTCAAGCCTCAGTGACCTACTGGGGGGTGGACCCCTTACTGCACACAGCCCTTGCCTTCATGGGAACGGGCCCTTGCTGCGCACTGTCCACCTCCTGGCCTAGGTGACCTAATGGGTGTGGACCTCATGTTTTATTGCTCATGACCCTATCACTATCCTTAAAGATGACTTCACTCACTGCCCTGCCCCCTAACCTATACACAATAAGTACTCACGCTTCTGGACATTCGGGGCCTCGCCTGACTCCGCTTATAGGTGGCGTGGCCCCCCGAGCCCAGCTGCGTTTTCCTTGTACTTCTGTGTCCTGTCTCTTTATTTCTCGGATCCTGCACCTCAGCACAGCATAAGGCTCACCCCACGACCCTGTGGGCCGTCAGCCCTACAGCCCAGCTCCCGTGACCCTGGCTGAGGGTGGCCCCTGGCCATTCTTCCTGCTGGTTGTGGAGGCCCAGCACGGGAGGGGCCGGGGGAGAGCATGTGCACAGGCGCAGCCTGAGGCCACAGCCCAGAGTTCTGGAAGGTGAATACTCGGCTCCCATGAAGGACCCCCACACAGGTCCGCCACGCAGAACCTCGTCACTCAGTACCAGGGGCCTGGCAGGAGAGTCGGCTCAGGGTTTAGAAGAGAGGGCCCTGCCCAGGAAACAGTACCCCCCAGGGAGCACTTCCTCCTGAGGCCTGGGCCTGGCCTGGACCTGGCGGAGCCGGCCTTCCCCTCCCAGCTGGTGTGGCGCAAGCTTGAGCCATGGCAGGTCAGCCCCAGGAAGGGCAGCAAAGGACCCATTGGACAGAAATCCTGCAAAATGCCACTGCAGGGTTGATGTCGCTGGCTCGAAGTTTGGGGCAGTGGTAGGTTCCTAGGCACCATGGGCCCTGGGGGGCTGGGGTGAGGGCGGGCGGCTCGAGACTGGCGTCCCTGAGGACTGTGTCCAGTAAAACTCCCAGAAGCACCACCTGCTCTCCCTGCCAGTCCAGGGAAGGCTTCGTACGCTCTCCTGGTGGCTGCCAGTTGGGTGGCAACGTGTGCGTGCTGCACTGTGACAGGAGGGCCAGGCTGGGCGGGCTCTCTGGGGTCGGTATCCAACAAGCCATGCTCCAGAGGCAGGAGTGGGGTGCAAGTGCCACTCTGAGCTGCAGGAGCATCTCCCGGGCTGGGAGGGGTCTTCTCTGTCGAAGGGTGGGTCAGAGCCCAGAAAGCTGAGCCCACACTTGAGACAAGTGGGAACGTAAAGGCGGGAGCTGGGCCTCACCTGACCCCTGCTGGGCTGCGGGCAGGGCATGGCTGGGCTGGGTCCCCACCGTCTGCTCACCCTTGCTTGGGGTCATCATCCGGGGTCCTGGAACTTGGGAGGAGTCTGGAGGTTCCCGGGCCTGCCCTCCCCACCACCCAGGGCCTCTTGGCTCTGAGTCAGTCTCAGCTCTGGCTGCACCCCAGTCCCCTGGGCTGCCTGCTGCTGCTCGGGGTGCCAGGCTTGGGGGCTCTCCTTGAATTTGGGCCAGGGTGGCCTTCCCACAGACGTCCTGCAGGATGGCCCTGCTCCAAGAGGCCCTAGCCATGCAGAGCGGGTTTCATGGCTGTGAGGGGAGGGGCTGCTTCCCCAGGGCTCTGTCCCCACCTCCCATTCTGCACTCACCCCAGGGAATAACCCACCAGCACCCACACGCAGGCTGCACCTGTGACCTACAGAAAGTTTATTGACAGGCTGTGGGGCGAGGTCTCCTTGTGGGCAGGGGGCTCTGAGGGGCTCTGGCCAGGATGGCTATGGGCTGGCCTGGCCTTACAGCTGGCTCTGAGTGTGGAGTCTCGGGAGGGGGTGCTCTTGGATGTCCCTGGGCTTGCTGGGTCCAGGGCAGCAGGAAGTGGCCGTGGCAGTGCCAGGTGGAGGGCAGCCCATGGGAATGTGCCTGGCAGGGGATGTCCAGGTCTAGGCTCATATGGCCTGGCCCTCAGCTGGGGAGGGCTTTGAGGGTGCGCGGGGGGCCCGAGGGTGCTCCGTGCAGAGGCTTAGGTCACCACCTGGGCTACAAAGATGACCTTGTAGGTCTCCTTCACATCCCCCCTTAGCTGCAGCAGGGCTGACACCATAAGTGGGTGGTCGGGCTGGAACAGGAGGGGCAGAGAGAAGGGGCCCTCAGCCATGGGCACCCAGGGGACATCTGTCTTCCCGCTGCCTGGCCCACCTCACTCCCCCGGGCCCTCCACAGCCACCTCTTCCCCTGGGAGGGTGTCAGCCCACCCAGCCTCAGGTGTTCCCAGGGCTCCCTGGCCTGCAGCCCGAAGGCACCTACGTCAAAGTCCGCAGGTGGCACCCAGGAGATGCTGATGGTCTTGGTCTGGCCACGCTCCACGGAGCCCCTGGAAGGCTCAATGGAGAAGCCCTTGTGCTGCAGGGACGCGGCGCTGTCCAGGCTGAACTCCACGGTCTGTGGGGCATGGGCTCCTGTAGGCTGGCGAGCAGCACGGCTGCCAGCAGCAGTGAGAGGAGCAGCAGGGGCGCCCAGCTCCACGCCCCCTCCCAGCTCCCAGCAGCAGGCTGCCCACCCCACAGCTGCCACAGGAAGCCCCGGACAAGCCGGCTGTGGGGGCAAGCCCCGTGAGCTTGTCAGCTTCCTGTGGTCAGTGCCCCCTTCCTGTGGCAGGGCCAGGAGGGTCAGGGCTACCCAGGGCAGGGGAGGCCAAGGAAGCCGCCTGGTGTCCCCAGGGGCAGTGCTGTGGTCACCTTCTTCGGAGACAGCTGGCTGGTCCGGATACAGCCCACCTGCAGCTCTCGGGTGGCGGGGGGGGCCGGCGTGTCCGGGTCCAACTGCATGTAGTCCAGAGTCACCAGGATGGGCCTCAGCTCCTCGGCTTCTGGAGAGGGAGGGCCTGGCCGGGAGCTGGCTGGAGGGGTGTGGCCAGGGGAGTGCTTCGGGGTCAGGCTGAGGCCTGGGGGAGGCTGCAGCTGGACTCCTGGACTCTGGTTAGCAGGGGCTGTCCTGCCTGGCTCTGGGCTAGAAGGCTGGAATCCCTGCCCTGCTCCCCCATCTACAGGTGAGGGGCCCTGGGAGGCCCTCCGTCTGTTCCCTCCCTGGGGAGGCACTCACCTTCTCTGTGCTTGGGTTCAAATATGGGGATTGCCGTCAGAGACTCCACAGGCACATCCAGGGGGTCTCCGCCCTCCACGAACATCATGTGCTCACGGGCAGCACCCTTCAGCAGGATCTGGTGGGAGATTTTCTGGGGACGAGAAGTGCGGTGGCCTTGTCCCCGAAGGTCTGAGGCAGGGGCCCTGCTGGTAAGAGCTGGGCTGGCTCAGGGGAAGGAGGCAGGGATGGGCTGGGGACCACCGACGACCTTCAACGTGGCGCTGGGTCCCCCAGGCATGGTGCCCTCGGGCCTCCACAGTGGGCAGTGCAGGGAGAGGTCAGGCCCTGGGTGGGGCAGGGGCCGGGCTCCCAGCCAGAGCCGCACCTTTTCAAAGAGCACGACCTGGAGCCGGTCGGAGAAGTAGAGGCTCTCGTGGTCCGGGCTGAAGGTGACAGTGAAGTCCTGCGTCTTCCCGGGGTCCATGACGCCCTTGACCGGGACCACACTGAACACGCTCTGGCCACTGAGGTTCTGCGTCCCTGTGGGTGGGGGGTGCAGTTCGGCCTTTCCCACCTGTGGTCGCCATCTGTCCCCAAGCCCTGCTCCACAGAGCTCTGCGCCCTGCCCGTCCCCGCAGTGCCCCATCCCGCCCGGTGCCCCCAACAGCCCTGCGCCCCCTCCTCCTCCCATAGACCCAATATCTCCTCCCCGCCCCCAGCTCACCGACCACCTCTGTCCTCTGGGAGGAAGAGCTGAGGAACTGCGGCAGCTGCTGCTGGTCCTCGGCCCGGGTCCTGGAGAGGCTGTCCAGGTGCATGGAGAAGGTGACGGGGAGCACGGAGTTGTTCTGTAGCTGCAGAGTGCAGGCTGTGGTCACCGCCCTCCAGTCTGGCCCAGCAGCAGGGCCGCTCCCCCTTCCTGTGGACAGTGCCTAGGACTTGGCCGCTGCCCACCCACGTGGGGACCCAGGCGGCTGACGACACCGGCACACATGGCGGTTACTGAGCTGTGTGCCAATGGCCAGTCGTCCAGTCCAGCCTGTCATCAGCCTTCAGCAGGACAGGACCCGGCTTCCCTGCCCGGGGCGCATGCACGGCTCTGCGGTGCCCGGGGTGCGTGGGCGGCTCTGCGGTGCCACGTGCCCTCCAGTGCACCCGAAGCTTGCTTAGGCGAGATTCCGGCTTAATTGAACCCGAGTTCCAGCCGCTGTCCTCCCTGCCCTCACCCCCTCTCCTGAGAACACCCTTCCTCCATGCAACCCCCGTGTTGGGCTGTGCCTCCAGGACCCTCCTGAGCCAGGCAGAGAAGCGGGCGTCCCTCGGATGGGACGAAGGAATGACAGCCCACGAGGCAGTGTGGCGTGCTGCAGAGGTCGGCAAACCCGCGCCCCTGGGTGGCCTTTGGAGTTGATCTCCAAAGGAGTGAGAGTTCAAGAAGCAGGGCAGGGGGTGGTGGGAGGCTCTGTGCAGGGGCCGAGGAGGAGGGACAAGGAGCACCAAGGAGGACAGGGAGGTGGGGGCGACGAGGGGACATCTGCAGCCTTCCCAGAAACAGGGCCGTGTTCTCTCATGAGAGGGCGGCAGAGGGGGCAGCCGGTGTCCCTACGGGCTCCTCGACCCACTGGTCACTCTGACTGGTGGCCTGAGACCTGCCTGGTGGAAGCCCCTACTGGGAGGTCGGAGGCGGCACCAGGGCCCTCATGTGCCTCACCTTGAAGCTGGAGGACACAGACTCTCTGGCAATCACATAGCCCATGTTGAGGACGTCGCCTTCGATGGAGCACGTGACCATGGACGCCACCCCAGTGCCCAGGAGGGTGAGGGTGAGCGTGCCTCTCTTGGTGATGATGTCCAGTGTTTCTTGAGCCTAAAGAGACCATCCCCCTGAGCCAGGGGCAGACGTCTGCTGGAGGCACGAGGGGAGCTCTGCCTCAGGGGCAGTGGGTTCTCGGTGCCGGGGCTGAGAGCGTGGGGCCGGGCGGAGGCTCCATCAGTTCCGCTCACTCGCTGGCTCTCGCCGGGCCCTGGGGGCCAGGCTGCTTGCAGACCAAGGCTTGGTCAGTCCCGGGCCTGAGCACAGGCGGCGCGCCCTGGCCAGGGCCTTTGTCCTGCAGCGTGGGGAGCCACGGGCCGCAGTGTGGCTGGGGTGGGCCTGGGACTCACCAGGATGCTCTCGTGGGGAGAGAAGGACAGCACCAGGACCTGGGTCTCGCCCGCGCGCAGGCGGCTGGAGGGGTTCAGCAGGACGAAGGGGCCGTTGGGGTTCAGCAGTGAGAAGTCCAGCTGAGGGTCCGCGTCAAGGAAGGGACACGGGTGCCTTCGGGCTCTGCCACGCCCTCCCCAGCCCCCACTCCCACCCCGCAGGCTGCCCAGGCCAGGTTGACAAGGACACAGCCAGGTCCTCGGGTGAGACGTTCTGGATGGAGACCTTCTGGACGCTGCGGTGCCCTGAAATAGGGCGGGGAACATCATGGCGCAGGCCCAGGCGCCCGGGAGCACCCGGGTCCAGGGGCAGGGCATGGGGCCGAGGAAGGCATGGGCGTGTCTGGCCCTGGGGTGGAGGTGTGCGTGGGGCCAAGCAACTCACCCACAGCGACATCGCCGAAGTTAAAGATGGTTTTGCCTTTATGGGACGTCACCACGACAGACGGTGCCACACTGGGGCACCACAGCTCCAGGTAGAGGGTGTTGTGGGGGCTGGGGGCGGGAAGGGCAGGCTGAGGGCAGGGTGGTCGGCCCCCTGCCTGCCCAGGCCCCAGAGTTGGGCCGTAGCAGAGAGCGGCTGCAGTAGCACGTTTGTGGCCAACCACACCCCGCTCCGGGCAGAGCACCCCGCTCCGGGCAGAGCTCCCCGCACCTGAAGCTCAGGGGCTCCGATCCCTTGTCGTTGATGTAGCCACTGGCAACAACACAGGGAACCACAAATGTGTCAAACTTCGCCTGGAACGCTCTGGCCAGGGTGGCTCGGGCGGCCTGGTACTCGTCGGAACTGGAAGGAAGCCAGCGATGTGCACTCCTGCCCTGGCCCGACCCCTGAGGCTCTGCCTCAGCCTCCCAGGCTGTATCTGACAAGCTGGCTTTTCCACCCTTCTCTGGCTCCTGTGGGGGACTTGTCACCCACTCCAGGTCCTTGTCAGCCAGGTGCTTGGGGACTGGGGTTTGGGGCAGGTCCTTTGGCCCGTGGCTAGAGAGCCATGTTCCCTCCTGGGGCCACGGGCACCCACCAGAGCTTTCCCAGGGCTCATTCTGCACCCAGGGAGGCTGAGTGGGGGGCACTGGCTTTGCTCCCCACCCGTGGAGTGAGGCAGTGTGCATAGGTGCCAGGCCTGGGGGCATGGGGTGGGCAGATCCCAGGAGGGCAGCGCCTAGATCCGGCTGTGTCTGAAGCCGTCAGTCTTTCCATCCACATGGGTCATTCCGGGCAGCCTGGGGGGGAACCGTCCACAGGGGCCGCAGTGGGTCCCACCAGAGGGGCCTGGAGGGAAGGAGATGGGCAGCCCCTCCTGGACACACCTGGGCTTCAGCTCCCGCTTCTGCAGCTCCAGGACGTGGGGGACAGAGACTCTGAATAGCTTGTCGCGATTCTGCACTCGCAGAAGGGAGAATGACAGTCTCTGCAGGCCCTTCCTCTGGGCAGCCGGGTCCTTTCGGAACTGTGGGGGAGCGGCTGGCTGTGGGGCTGTGCAGGGCCCCAAAGGCACCCCAGCTGTGCCCTGTGGCTCCTCCACGGCCTGTGCAGGAACCGTGGGAGCCCTGGTTTGGATTGAACGGGGACCCAAAAACCGAGCGGGTGCCCAGGAAGACAGTAGCCAGTGCGGAGGGGCGCATGGGGAGCAGCACACAGACCCCGACAGAGGGGCTCACAGACGGCAGCACCCGCCTTCGCCAGAGGATAAACCGAGGCACAAGGGAGTGAAGAGGCGGCCAGAGCCGGGGTCCCTGCCCTGGTGCCTTTCCTTGTCTTCACCGCAGAAGGCCAAGGGAGCGCTGCCCCTCACATGGCTGGCGGCGCTGTGGGGTGGACCCTGCAGAACACTCTGCTGCAGCAGCATTTCGGGTGCGCCTCCCGGGGCTCCAGGTGGTGGGAGGGGCCTGCATTGCATCCGCCGCACCCCTGGGTGACCCCACCTCCTGAGCCCCCCCTTTCCTGCTCCCGCCTGTTGGTGGCTTCCAGAGAGGAGAAAAGGTCTTGGTGAACAAGCGTTTTAACCTCTCGGATGCAGCCTGACACACACAGCGCTTGGAAAAAGTCTCCCCTGCACACCTGGCGCGCAGCCTGGGCCCTCAGGGACTCGGGGACGGTGGGGTTTGCTCCTGCAACAGGCAGCAAAGTCCCCCCCATGCTGCCCACAAGGCCTTCCCTTCCCCCACCCACATCCCTCCTCTCCCAGGCCGCACGCACGAATTTGGGCTCCATTTCTTTGTTCAGGAGTGGGAGAGCTTCCTGGCGGATCAGCTTCTCGGGCAGCACGGGCCGGAAGGCCACCTGGACCAGGCACCTCTGAAGAGAGACAAGCGTGGGACCGGGCTGCCACCTCCCTCCACCCCGGGAGCCCCTGCTGGCACGATGCCTTCCTCAGCCCCGGGGATCCCCGCAAGGTCACCGCCTCCTTGAGATTTCAGGCTGCTTGCCTTTGGGAAGGCCTTCCCTGACCTCTGTCCCCCAAGAAGGTGGGTGGGCTGCAGGCCTGAGCGCCAAGCCTTCTGGCCATGCAGGGCGGGGGTCCCGTGGGGCGGCAGTGACAGCTGAGCCCGTCTTTTCCTCACTGAGTTTCGGGGTGAGTCCCGCACTCCAACTTGGCCCCTGTGCACACCAGCCTTTCCAGCGTGCCTCCGTTTTGGAAATGGCTCCCCATGGAAGGGTCCCACCATGACAGAGCCCACAGATGGTGTGCAATGGGGGGTAGGGGGTGACACGGTGTTGGGGGGAGAGGAAGGGAGGGAGGGAAGAAGATGGGGGAGGGGGAGAGTGGGGGGAGAACAGTGGGGAGGGGAAGGGGTTGGGGGGACGGAGAGCTGCATATGGGGTGAGAGCCACATGCCCTTCCTCACTAGGCCCCTGGCAGCCCTCAGGGTCACCCGAAGGCCCTGCCAGGCCCAGGGCTTTGTGCTCTGCAGGAAGGCGGTGTGCTGGCTGGGAGTGGCTGACCCCTCTGCTCCTCGTCTGCCTGCGAGGTCCCCTGGTCCAAGGGGCTGCACAGCCCTCCCCAGTCTCAACCTGGGAGCCCTGCATGGGTGCCAGCCAGGCCAGCAGCCTGGGGAGCTCCTGCCTCTTGGGCTCAGGCTGGCCAAGGGCACTGTGGCCTCCTCCCATGTGGGTGGCCCGGACCACATCCACGGAGGCCACGGAGGCTCCGTGGGCCTTGCTTGGGTCTGATGAGGGTCAGAACTCCCACCGCTGCTCGCCAGGTTGGAGCCCAGTGGTTAAGGGTGGGCAGAGCCAGACACCCTGGGGGCAAACGCAGGTTTTGTGGAGCCCCTGGCTCCCAGCCTGCGTGTGGGGCCCACACCCACCTTTCCTGGCCACACGGTCCCCACCGAGGGTGAGATGGTGATAGGCGAGTCTGGGGGCAGCAGGAACTCGAAAGACGTGGGCCCCACAGGAGAGGCGTCCTCTGAGCCAATGCGGGGCTTGGAGTGGGTCAGTGAGCTCATGCTCAGGTGGGAGTTGATGACGTACAGCTTGGCCACCGCGGTGTCATACAGGGCCGTGGCCGCAAACTTGATCTGGTAGTGGGACAGCTCCAGGGGCGGGTGGACGCCCACAGCCCGGCAAGACAGCTTGAAGCACCTGCAAACACCCGTGAGGGAAGCCCTCAGCCTCGTGTGGGGGGCAGGGGGGCGGGTCCCTCTGCAGCAGCAGCAGGGGCTGCTGGGTGGAGGACAGGCCCTGAGTGAGGCTCACAGGGACAGGCACGTTCCCACTGCCCGTGGGGTCACTGCCCTGTTAACACATCTTGAAAATACAGCACGTCCCTGTGCACATTTCAGGTGGGTAGCTAAAATTTTTTAAACGTATTTATTCATTTATAAAGAGAGATGGGGTCTCGCTCTGTTGCCCCGGCTGGAGTGCAGTGGTGCCATCACAGTTCACTGCAGCCTCCAACTCCTGGGCTCAAGGGGTCCTCCTGCCTCAGCCTCCCGAGTAGCTGGGACTACAGATGCGTTCCACTGTGTCCTGGGTAGCTAAAAATTAGTCACAA